GAGCCCAAAATTACGGGCACATTTTGAAAAGGTTCTCTCTGAACTGAGGATCTTTTATAGAGTTTAAATACTTTTTCTGCATCAGAAACAGTCAAACACCTGTGTCATATAACACACATTACATGCTTCCTCAGTAGATTGAACAATTTTATTACAAGCTATTACATGATTGTAAAGCAGATGGACTATGAAGACACAATAGGAATAGCAACGTCAATTTTAATAAACAAATAATTTATTGTAATAATAAGGAACACTAGAATTACTTTAGAAGTACAATCTATATGGGACCATATATCCAAAACATACTATTTATCTTATTTAAAAATATTTACTTTAAGAGAAAAATATTACTGTTTATTCAGTGTATCATCTTGCTTTTTAAAATGTTCTATTTAAAACACATCAACTTTACTATCCAGCTGGATAAAATGGATTATCAGAATGGAATATGCAAATATACTTCATGTGCTACATCCTATATTCTGGAGTTTAAAAATCAATGCTTAAAATCATGTGGACAGAACCACCATCAAGCAGATTACATGTCAAATGAATGTTTCACTAATTGTTTATTAATTTGCCTCCTTATTTTTTTTATGTTTCTTTCTCTCTCTCTCCACATATTTTCCCTGCTTATGTTCAGCCAAATCCCTTGAAATCCATTTCTAGTCCCATCACACAACCCAAGACCAATTTGGGCAGCTATTCAGAACGAAAAGCAATTAATGACCATTAGGAATATATATGTTTTCAGTCTTTGTTTTAAAGACCAGAAAAGTACTTTTTTAGTTTTCTTGTGGCTCAAAAAAGTTATGCTGTAAGATACCACTAAAAGATGAATGGGAGAATGTAAGCACTTAAAACTTTTCTTAAGCAGTAGGCTTTCACATACTTCTGCACTAAAAAACAAAGCCTCCTGCTGTTGCTGTTTGACAATAATACAGCCATTCAGGTCCTGAACACAGAATCTATTTAATCTTTCCTGAATCTGCATATGGGTGTCAATGCCAATGGCATTCTGCATCATGGCAGCAACTGGTAGCACCAGTGGATCCGTAAGTATGTCTGCGTTCCAAAAAAGCCCAATAAGGGTGCGCATGTGTAGTTTGCGATGCTGCAAACCTGTCCACAGCGCTGCAAACCATGCACATTTGCTGCACTGCTAATTTGCAGTCTGGCAGGTTTTTTTGACATGGGGAGATCTCAGTGTCAAAAAAAGAAAGAAAAAGGTTGCACGGTGCACACATCTACGTGCCCAAATTCCGGCTGCTGCAGCCATAGAAAGCCCCCAGGTAAGGCTGCTGGGGCCAGCCCAGGTACTGGCTCCAGCCTCTCCTACCCCACCCAGAGCAATTTGCCATGTGCCAGAGTGCACATGTAGGGGTGTGCCCACGGACAGGGAAATGCATGTTCCTGCTCATGGGGATGCACCCTTGAGGTCACTAAGGTGAAATCTGGAAGTTTGACTGTCAACATGTTTTCAAGTTAAAGTCACGATAATGATGTTTAATGACTGCATCCCCTACATTACAGTGCTTAACTGAATTGTGAAGATTGGAGCTGAGAGGCCTCTGTATTTCTAGAGTTAGAACCAGGTTTCAAGTCTTACATCCTGATCCTGTAAGGACTGATGCATGCTTTTTACTTCAGTTGGACTACTTGAAGTGTGGGAAAAGAAGTAATTATGCACTGAGTGTAAAGCTAAACACAACTTTCAGTCACTGCAGGATCAAAGCCACAGTCATTTCAAATATCATATGCCTAAAACGTAACAGATGTCAATCTCAATGCATGAGAGAAAAACCTGTTAGTCAATCTGCACAAATTTAGAAAAGAATAAAGAACCTCTCTTAAATGAGTTTCCTTTGTTGCTACTATAACGAATGGTAAAGTGCTGGTAGTATGCAACAATGAACAGCATAAAAATATGAACCTATGAACAATATAATCCAACATGTTCAAAAGTACCGAACTTGACTGAAGATCTTAATGCAGCTGCTATACACAATATGATGGTGCCATTATACTATATACAATTGTATCAATCTTCCAGTTTAATTATTTTTCATTTCTGTGGATTAGTCAATTAATACCACCATTAAATATTGAAGCAAGTATTTTTCTAGAAGTGCAGGGACAGCTACTAGTTAGTACTGAAGGTTGCTTTCCATTAGAGACCCAGTACTCAGTCCTTTACCACCAACTTTGTAAGAGAGAAAGTGTATATTCAGGTCACTGTGAATGGCTACAGTATATATGCTACCTTAACAAACTGTCATCATTAGGAGCAAAACACATCTCTAATTTTTGTTTAGCATTGTTTTAGTAGGTAAATCAAAGATTACAATGGGTATAGCATGCTCTGGAATAAGTTTTTGCAACTTCAACTTTATTTTTATTTTAAATATATATAATCTATTTGGACCATCACCAATTCCATTGTTTGAATGGGATAACGGATACAGTAGTTACAATATACACGGAATACAAAATAAACAGCACCATAAGAACATGAGAGACAAAACCGTGTTTGCCTTCAACATTCAAATTAACTCATGCTAAAGTTAATCATAATTTCTCATCTCCTTATACTGCATATGATGCGTATGACCAAGCACGTCAGACTATCATCATAGTGAGACTAACGTCAAAACTTTCTATTCATTTACAGTCTTATTCTGTGCTCATCTATTATGCTATATTAATACCCAAAGGGGTCTGCGAATTAAGGGGGAAAAGCATGCTTAGATTAATGTGACTATAAAGTTGCACTATGGATTAAAAAAGTTACAAAGTTTGGGCCAAAGTTTGGTTGAGTTTGAAGCTTCCCTAAGCTTTTTCTGACCTGTCTTGAGTTCTTAGCATATACTATTACAGAGAATCATCTGGTCAAGTAAAAGGTTTGTTCTGAAATGTGAGAACTTTGTTTCTACCCTGCGATAATCTGACTCAGGCTAAACAAGAAGGTTAATATCACCTATCAGGTTTCAGCACAAATATACACAAATCCATTGCTTTCATTCAGAGTACAGAAATTAGAAAGGCTGCAGTGTTTGACCTGTCTCTTGTAGATACCCACATTTAAAAACCACGTATTTAACAGTTACAGAGCAAATTAATATACCATTTCTAAAAGCCTAGTGAAGACGGCCATAACCGAGTGAGCAAATGGCAACAGAAGTATAAAATAGCATGCTTGCAACGCAAAAAACCCATGCTTTTGAAAAAAAACAACTTTCCACTGCCAATGTGAATTTACTATATCACTTAGAAAATGTAAGACCTTTACAACAACTTTAACTCAAACCAATGAGCTGTTGGAAGTCTGATGTTTTTAGCTTGTAGTTATCATTAAGATGCTTAGTATTTTATTTTAAGAAATACTGTAAAGCGAAAAAAGAGTAATATTTATTAATTGTCAAAGAAATGGCTTGTCCCTTGTTTAGAAAAGGCACCACGCTGTAAACATGGGCTATTTTTGCAGAGGTGGGTGCGATGGGGCAACAACCATCATGGCACGGTGAGAGAGTAGCAAGTAAAGCTACTCAGTTTACTTTTTGTAAGCTCTCCTGAGCCTTTGCTAGTGAGAGCGGCACACAAATTTCACAGCATATAAGTCAAGGTTTGAAACTCAAAAAATTTACCTTTAAGTTTCCACTTCAACTTATACACCATATCAATACCTTAGCTGGACCCCATGCTGGCACCCTGCCACAAAGTAAGGCAGCATGCTGGCGTTCTAGGGGCTTCCCTGGCACCAAATGAGGCCAGGTCAGGCTCCTGCCTTCCCCCTGCCCCTGTCCAACACCCCAGAGCAAAGCTAGGCACCCAAATCCCATGCCCATCAAGTCTGGCCTACCTCTCCCATGCCCAAAGTTTGAGCTGCCAGCAGACTGGGAAGCCCCCAAGTTGCAGGGGGGCCCAGTCCTTCCATCTGCAGCAGCAGTGCCCACCAGGCCTGGCCAGGCAGGCTGCCAGTGGGCCGGGTCCTGCCCCAGCTCAGAGGCACTGGATCCAATTTTCCCATGAGCTGCCTGGGTTTCCAGTGCCGTGGATGCTGTCCCCACCACCAGTGCACCCAGCCACCCTCCTGCCACCCTCCGTGCTCACCCGGGAAGGGGCTAGGCAGCCCCTTCCCGGGAAGTGCCAAGCATCCTGCAGGCTACAGGAGCCCACTAAAGGCAGAAGCGGCAAGGGGCCCCATCCTTTTTTTCGGTGGAGCCTGCCTGCCTGTCTCCCCGCCCCCTCCATGCCCTGGGCCAAGCTACTGGTGGACAGGGCAGCCCCTGAGCTGCAGGGAACGTGGTCCTTTCCTCTCCCACGGTCCAGCTGGGTGGCTGCCCGGGGCCTGGGTGCTGCCCCAGCTCAGAGGCGTTTGATGCAACACTCCCATGAGCTGCCCAGGCTTCTGGTGCCTCGCCTGCCATCCCCGCCGTCTTCTCCTGCCACCAGCTCACCCAGGCACCCTCGTCCCACCCTCCCAGTGAGGCAAGGTCGAAGTATACACCAGATCTACACAAACCCTAACTCTTTTTAAGCAGAAATACAGGGCTGAGGTCTGTCTACACCACGTCAACTCATACACTGTAAAATACGGTAAGTAAATAAATGTCAGCAGAACGCCTTTTCCCGTGTGCGGGAAGCGCATTTTGATCGCGGCGCCAGGCGAAGACTGTAACGCTAAGACGCAAGGCAATCAGACTGCCAGCTCTTCGCAGCTAACCTGACAGGCTGCGTCTTATCTGCAGAAAACAAAATACCTTCGCTTTGAAGCCCCCGGATTCCCCAAGTGCAGCTCGTCAGGGGGGGCGGGGCGCCTTACTAATCTGCCTCCTTGCTTCCCCGGTGCCGGATCCGCCGGCAGAGCAGCGCCCCACACGGGCCGCACCTCCGCCCCGGAGAGCCCAGACCCACAGCCCCGCGACACCCACCGGCTCCGGGCCTAGCGCCGCCCCGCGCATCCCGCAGCGGAGGAAGCGTCAGGCCGCGAGCGCGGGGGGCGGCCGCAAAGCGGGGAAGGGGCTGCCCTCGCCTCCCCCCGGATCCCGAGCGCCGCTCACCTCCGCCTCATTCTCGGCCGGCGGCTCGCAGCGCTGTCCAGGCGTCCCCCGCACAGGCCCAGCACCGCCCCCGGGACTTTCCCAGCGCCCTCCCCCCCGCGGGGCTCCTCGCTGCAGCCCCGCACCCCTGCCCCCTCAGCCGCTGCCGGCGCCCGGCCCGCGACACCTACCCTGCTCGGCGCCCGGCACCGCCTCCTGCCATCTCTCGCAGCCAACCACGAAGCGCGGAGCCGGCTCGCCGTCTCCCGATTGGCGGACGGTGTTGTCACGGGAGGGCCCGACTCGGGGATTTCCACTCCACCAAGCTTCGTTGCGCCGCAATAGGAGGCGGGAAGAGAAGGGAATAGGGAAATCGATCCGAGCGGGGGGGCAGAGAGGCGAGAGGCGGGTGCTTTGATTCCATTGGCTCGCTGAGCCGACATGCGCTCTGGCCATTGGTCGCCGGGGGTGGATGGGCAGAAGAGCTGAGCCCTCAGCGGGGGACTGGGTAGGATGGAGCTCCCCGCCCCCCGTGGGAGCCCACCAGCTCAGACCCTGCCACCAGTATAGTGACCTGATAGTCCCAGGCCTGTCCAAGCACTTGCCAAGTCCCTCTTCCAGGGTTGGAAGGACACTTGACTCTTGCGGGGTCTGCAGTCAAGATTGGGTTGCCCATCAGGATGCCCTAATAAAATCAGAGACCCCCCCCCAGGTTATGATTTTCCAATCTTGGGGGGGGGGGGGCCTCGTCTCTCATGACATGACTCAGCGCGCTCCCCCACCCCCTTCCCTAATTCAAACCCTTTCCTCCTCCCTTAGCTATTCAGTGATAGGGTATTAGGGCTGTGCAAAAGGGCACCGTTCCGTTTCGAGGGAACGGGGTTTCTTTCGAATTTCGTTTAGATTCAAAACCGCTGTTCTGTTTTGTTTCGTTGAAACAGTTTTGCTGTTTCAACACTGTTTTGACGTTTGGCCCATAGGTTATAGTGGGGAAGTTCGAAACAGCCTATAACTTTGTCATTTCTGGCCTGATTTGGATGAACCTTGCAGCAATGGTAGCCCCTTCTGAGGGTATGAAGCCTGCCAAGTTTCAAGGACACCGGTGCAGGGGGTTCAGGGAAACTGCACCTGAAATCTTGAAAGAAAAAAACTCATGTCCCGTGTACGTGTTAAGCCACAGCAGGGTCAAAACTGCTGGGGGCGGGGCTGCTGAGGCAATGAGGCCTGCCACATTTCAAGGAGGTAGGTGCAGGGATTTGGGGGAAACTGCAGCTGAAGCTGCAAACAAGCAAAACTCGTGATATGGGTGACACCGTCTGTGTGTTACAGTGCAGCAGGGTGAAAACTGCAGGCCTGCTGAGGCCACGAAGCCTGCCAGCTGTCAAGGAGATAGGTGCAGGGGGTTCTGGGGTCTTGCACCTTTGGCTGCTGACAGGCAACACTCGTGAAATGGGTGCTTGTAGGACTGTGTCTGTCTTGGGGCACAGGGGAGTGAAAACTGCAGGCCTGCTATGCCCTGCTGTGGCCACAAAGCCTGCCAGCTGTCGAGGAGATAGGTGCAGGGGTTCTGGGGCCCTGCACCTCTAGCTGCCTACAGGTAAAACTCGTGACATGGGCGGGTGACACTGTGTGTGTGTTAATGTGCACCCTCACTCAACTGACACCAAGGCAGAAAGCAGGGCAGTTCAAACAATCCTGCCTTTTATGCAGTTTTTCCATCCCTCCCCCAGAGCACTGGGATTGGAAGGGACCTCAGGGAAGGATGACAGTCACTAGCCAGCTACGCAGTCAACAATGAGAGCGCTCCTTCTCCCCGCTTCCCCCCTCTTCCCCCTCCCTCTCCTTACTTTAGTTTCTGTTTCCTTGCAGGCAAGTCCAGCTTGAGCTTTGAAACTCAAAACGTTTTTAAAATATTGAAATGTTTCAGCTCGCCTCGTTTCGTTTCGAGGTTGCTTCAAAGCTCTCTGTTTCGTTTCAATTTTGCTGTTTTGAGCTCAAAACGAGTTGAAACTGTCGAAACGAAACTGCCAGCTAAATTTCACACAGCCCTATAGGGTATGGCCCTTTCCGCAAGCCTCTGTGTGAAAAGTCAGATTGCCCCAGGTCTGGTCCCTATGCACCTTCTCAGTTCTGAGTTTTTATTTTCGAGCTCTTCTCTGGCAGAAGCAACCCCTTGATTCGAGGGTGATCTCTACCTTGGCTCATTGATGGGTCTTGAGATGGCTTAAGAGTCACTCTGAAGTGCCTACCAGCTGGCAGGCTGCAAGCCTACTTTAATAAACGTAACTGTCACTTAATCGCAGGGACTGAAACTTTGGAGAAAATGCTAGCTTTTGCAAGATGCATATGGAAATTATGAAGTGGCAGTGCTTCCACATGTACAACCCCTATAGTGCCTATGAAAGCACATGCCCAGTGTCTTAACCAGGCTCCAAGGGGCAGGCCATCTAGCCCTTTTGGGTGCAGGAAAGTAACAATGTTCGCCCGATCTGGCCACAGAAAATGGTCTATAGCTGTGACCAAACACAAGTGTATAGATGCAGACAGCTTCAAAAATTGAGTGAAAATCTGAACCCTCACTGCAGGGGGGGTGGGGTGTCAGATGAAGACCTTTCAAAATAAGAGCGTCTTCTGTAACTTTTGTCTGTGCTGTCTGCCAGACTGTCACTTTTTTCAGAATGGGAGGGGAGAAAGGGAGCAGAAGGATTTCAATCTGGGGGGTTTTCAGTGCCTGCTAGAAGGTGGGGCAGGTACAGTGCAGCCCTTCCCCCCCAGTGGGCGGCTCCAATTCACCCACCCCACCCTCCAGCACCAAGAACCCCGAGATCCCTCTGCTCCCTTTCATAGATTTCATAGACATTACGGGCTGGAAGGGAGCAGAGGGATCTCGGGGTTCTTGGCACTGGAGGGTGGGGTGGGTGAATTGGAGACACACATTGAGCCAATGGGGCTGTGCAGATATAGCTCATTCAACATGAAATAACAGCACAAGCACATGAATGTTCACTGGATACACAAAGACCACACGTTTGTCCACACATATCCATTGCATATGTTATAATTCATTGTGACTAATTACCCATGGTCCTTCATAGAAGCATTTAACTCACCAGTCCTTGCATTCACATCACACACCTGAGTTATGTAATGAATCTGTGTGCAGTGTACATATGGCTCAATTATTGTGTTGTAAATATAGGCATCCATTGGAGCAATATTTTACTCCAGATGATCACAACTCTGGAGATGTAAAAGCATTAAGTTTCCCCATAAAGTTGCATTAGAATTGTCCTTATCCTATTTGCATACAGTCCAATACTAAATAATTTACATGAATGATGTTCAGTTACTTAACCCATACACAGACCAGTTAGACTGGTACTTTCCCAACTGGGAGGGTAGAGGTGGGCTGGCAGCTTGATAAAAATGTTCATTTAACACATGTTGATAAAACATAAAGTTTTAGTTTATTGATTAAGTAACGAGAGAACATGCTACATGTCCTAATACACAGAAATATCTCAATTTCCTGTAATAGGAAAAATTATAAGGAGATATTGTTAAATTATTCATTTTCCTCATGTAGGATTCAATTTATATTGCATACTAGATAGCCTATAATAAGCATAATTTGTGATTTACAGGCCTGATCAATGACAAAGATTTCCATTGACTCTAGTGGGGTAATTATTTTTCTATTCAGGAAATTTACAGCCACATCTGCTCATTAGACAAATATACTACTTCAAAGGCATATAACATTCTTTAAAGGAAGTCTTGTGCAGACTTTTCAGTGCTTTCCAGCAGCACGTTTTCCAATCAAAACTTCTCCATGTTCAGAAATTAACCATTACAAATTTACTTCCATGTAATTTTGTATGTTCACTGAACTTCTTTTCTTAATATGCAGTTTAAAAATACTTTGAACTCCTAGGAAATGCAAATATAAATAACACTATTATATGCAGTTATTTAATAACATCCAAATGTAGCAGCTGTTTAACTGAGCCATTATTGCATGCATCTGTCATATGAATGTTGTTCTATTTTAAACAGTTAACGTCAGTGTTATATATATAGTGGAAGCTTCCTAAATAAATAATGAATGAGGGAATGAACCTGTAAATAGAAGATATATTTTACCAGAAAGGCTATCTTTCAAAAGCATTCATATTATATGTATATGCACACACACACACACGCGTGCGCGCACACACACACTGTTACATATGAAGTTTCTATTTTATATAGACATGGTTTTTATATATACAGTTTCCTTTTATACATACAGATCCATGACATTTTTAAGAGTAAAGTATGGCTCATTTCTTAAAACCACAGGTTTGTTTTTAACTGGGGTGTTAAATAATTGCTTTCCTTGACACTTTATAAAACAGCATCCATTTCTCAAGCCTTCTGCTTCCAACAATGAGTTCTTAATTAATATAGGAAGCTACAAAAACTAATCATGTATATGATCATTAAAGACTGCATCATATTATTATATGCACAAATCATAAATTAAAGACTGTATCATATTACATATGCACAAATTGGCCAGATTAGGTTAACCCTTTCCTAACTCGTAAGTGCTTGACTTTGCATCCTTAACATTTTCTTTCACACACACACACCCACACCCCCACACACCCCCACACACCCTAATGTGTGCAGCAGGTATTACTGTGTGAAATGACTTTTGAAGTTGTATATTCATTGAGTTTTATCCATTTTGAAACAAATGTAAACTTGTAAAGAACATACATTTTCCTCAGCTGATCTCTCTCTCTCTCTCTCTCTCTCTCTCTATATATATATATATATATGTGTGTGTGTGTATATAGAAAGAGAGAGAGATTTTAGTAATACCTGCTGCACACATTAGTTTCAACAGCCCATACAGTTTCTTTAGTTTAAACTGGGTGCATCTGCACAAGCTATTAATGCAGCTCACTAAACTTCAGCACAGTCCACACAGTAGTCAGCTGATCCCGAGCACAGTGTCTTCACAT